TCTTCGTAATAACCTTATATTAATGAAAGGCATTGTTTACTTACCAGGGAATAGATCATTAAGGTTGACAGGACTTTTATTTGTATCAATAGTTATTTTATGCTGTGCATTCTTCACTGGTGTACATGCTTTACAAATCAGTGATAAAGGAAGATCAAACTTAGTCTGTGTTATCCGGGGAGCTCCTGTAATCAATCATGGAGTCTTGTTATAAGTCTGTTCAGTCAACAGTAGATTAGCAGCACAGACATTTCCTTTACACTAACTCAATTTGAAGTTATAAGCAATTTTTTGTGTGTAAATTCTGAGCGACTATGAACACATATTTTGACTGGATCCAATTGCCAGCCTCCTTGTATAACAGTCAAGAAAATTATGGTGAAGTGGAAATGCAAATAAATATATGCAAATGAGAAATACATAACAATACATAATAGAGTGAGCCTTCATTTTTGAGGTTGTTACCTTTCCCCAAAATTTCCCTAACCATTTGACAGCTGCCAATGGAAAATTTATATCAGACTGATTTCCAACCATGAATTATTGAGGAAACAATCGTCATTTAAAAAAATATCCACAGAAATATAACCAGGAAAACAATGTTTAATATAAATTGCATGTATACTAGAATGTCTGAATGTGTTACATGTGTGTAATTTGACCTATATTGGAAGCACAGAATTCTAGTCTTGTTCCCTCATTATGATAACAACTCCCCCAGCCTGCAAACATGCACAGCCAGATTAGTTTTTAGTTTGGAAACAGTGAAAAGCAAACTAACCTGATGGAGTTGTATAAGTTGCTGATGCTTCAGCTGTTAATGAGGACGGTATGCAATGACCTCTCTGGAAAAAAGATACCAGAGCTTGCGTTGGACTGGACATGTCACCTGCAATATGTAAATGAGAATATTAGGTATTTTGATAAATGGTGATAGTATGTAACAGCACATGTAAATCACATGAAAATCACATAAAAATCACATGAAAAATTACATGTAAATCACATGAAAATCACATGAAAATCATATGTAAATCACATGAAAATCATATGTAAATCACATGAAAATCACATGAAAATCTTATGTAAATCACATGAAAATCACATGAAAATCATATGTAAATCACATGAAAATCACATGAAAAATCACATGTGAATCACATGAAAATCACATGTAAATCACATGAAAAATCACATGTAAATCACATGTAAAGTACAATATGAAATTTTTCAACAACAACAGCAACAGTAACGCAGACATGACCATTCTGATGGTGCATAACATGCCATTTTACCATACAAGTTCAATACTGGACCCAAGCAACTATGCATGGATAAAATACTGTGAATAGTTTTGTTGCTATCTGATTTCACAATAAAATAGTTTTGAGGGAATTCGTAAAAACAGCATCTTACAGTGGTCGCCAAAATAAAGTCATCATGAAAACTGTTATCTCCCATGAGATATTGCAAAATTTCTTGGAAGATCCTTAGTGGTATTTGTCATGACTTTGTATTCAATCATTGTGAATTTTCTTATTAAAAGTACCACTGTATATTTGATGGGGGTGTTTGAAATTATTATGTATGTTTGTGATCACATAATAATTCATTGTGTTCAAGTGTAGAACACTCTTATTCATCATTTCAATAATACTTCATGCAATTCTTTTGCTCAAAATCTGATTGACAATTGGATTCACAGAAAAACATCACTCACAAAATCAACCATTCATGGGCATATCATCTACACATTCTTCACCCTTTTCCTAATATGCATGGATTGCAAACTTATACTCACCTATTACAGGAAATGTAAAAGTGTCTTGATTGACAGCAATCGGGAATGGTGAAAACACAGATAATCTCACATTCTGCAATGCCAGTTTACTTTTTAAAATCACCTGAATCAAAACACAATGAAAAAGAAATCATTTACCAGTGACAGCGATGATGCTAAACACAAGTATGCACATATGACGTTATATCCCTTAAAAACTTAAAAAAGGTCTAAAAATGTATTTTTTTTAACTTAACCTTTTCACAACCAATTCGCTCTGTTCATCACAAATTCACAAAATAGTCCTGTTTATAGTCTGCACTTTCCTTCAGAAGATTGGGACAAACTTAAAATAGCCAATTTTTTTTAGTAAAGACTGCAAATTAACTCAAATTTTTTGTTGGCCCCAAAATTAGGGTTCCTTTCCAGAAATATTAAAGAATATAAGAAAAAAGTGAGAAAGTCCGATAAGTGTGCATATATTTTATAAAAAGTGAATCAATAGTTTTTTTTTTGTATCGACTGATGATGTCTTTTACCTTTGGTGTAATGGACGGGACAGAATCTTCACTATCAACTTCAACATTTGCCGCTTGCTGCCAAAAAACAAAACAATTATGACGAAATTATTTATCATTCAAGTGGATTCGGATCACAGCTTATACAGCTTACCCATAATTCTTAGCATCTGGAGGAAAAACCTGAGTGACTTTGAAACTTTTTCATTCTGTGTCATGCATTGCATCATGGGAAATAATTGATGGAGATGAACACTGCAAACCACAAACTCACTATATGCCATATTGCATCAATACAATAGCAGGCATAAAGTACTTTAAAGCTAATTTTCACAATCCCATTCCAGAAAAACAACGAGCAATTTTGTCTTGTGTAACACAAAATAAGTTAATCCTGAAAGTTCAAAAGTTATGTGATTGTCGCTTAATCAAAAAGATAGGCTCTTTGCAAGACACTGAGATTTGTCCTCAGTGTTTGTAATTACTTTAATTCATTGATAAATAGTATGCATGTTTTTACATCACAGTGGAGAGAGTTCTATGTCTGCATATCCTACTCAATATATACACTGATGCATACTTTGAGGTATTTTTGTGAAAGTAATATTTTATACATTATTTTACTACTTATAGTCATAATTTTAATAATGAGGTATAACAGCCTCAATAAGTGCTATGTTTGATGCAAACAAAGGAAATTGTTTGAATGTGACGTAATGCATTCAACCACACCCACTTTTGGTACTAACACATGGCCTACTTTTTTAGTTTTTTCTTGCCAGCTCCATAATTGATATCCAGTCCTGAGGTTTACGATGCAATTTGTACCTAATCTTTAAAACTGGAACCTATTGCATCATCAGTTTGGACAGAATTTATTTGTATTCACTGTTAACACAACGACAACAGAATTGCCAATAACACACATGTGGTATTGGCCCAGGGTGAGTTCTCTGAATAAAATATGGGGTATCTATTATGAGTTTCTGCACTTGAAAAGGGGTACAACTTCACAAAAATATGTACGTGTTTAGAGACTTTTTTGAAAAGCTATACTTCAGCATGGGTACCAGGTCTGATTTGGTATTGGCAATGTGGTTGTCATTGTGTTAATAGTTTTTTTACATATCTTGAGGTATAAATCTAAGTTAATTATCCAATGCAAAAATTACATGTAACTATTTATTGAAAGGTACACTACATAGAGTCGGAATAGACGCTGACATGACACATAGTCTAAGTGCTGTGTCAGACTATACCGTATGTATATTACATAAACAATTCTAAGCGATCATTCTTTTTCAATATGTCTCAGTAAAAAATTGTCATTGGTACAGTACAGTACCAACATACATGTAGGTAGAGAAAAGAAATACATACAATCTTTTTAAACTGAACATATGAATGTTTTTAGGGGGTGATTTAAACAGGGTTTGGGTTTACACAGGATTTGCCTTTGCCAGTTTTCAGTTAACACAGGGTTTGGTTTAGGCATGTTCCCATTCAATATAGGTGTTTAATAGATAAATTGAGACAGGTTTTCAGTTTAAATAGCAGTCCAGATTACACAGATTATGGTTTTGATAGATTTCCAGTCTTGATGTTGACTCCATGTAATACACCGCTTACAATATACATGTATTCTACAAAAAACTCATGAATATTAATAACAAAACATTAAATATGAAATAATACACACAAATACAAAGTTAGTTTGAATAGGCAGTAACTATAGGTGAATAGGTGGTTTTAAATACAATTAATTATGCAAATCAAAAACATTGCTAACGTATGAAGCAAGGGATTCCATATTTTACATAGAAAACTCTATTTTAGTCGAAAAATATTAGATTAAAGTGAGGGAGTCATCACCTGCCCATGCAGCAGACTGACAAAGCATGTCATTGTTTACAAACAACATCTACCCATGAGTCTTTGCGTTTTCAGTGTGTATGCGCAAGTGATAACCCCTTTGCTTAAATACTAAGGGTGGACGACTTCTGTCTTACTTGGTAGAAGAGAAAAACAGACATCTAAATTAAATAAACCATTAGTTTATAACACATCTTTTGGTTGCAAGGATATACGTTTTGAGTCAGACTTTTGCAGAAATACGTGTTCCACTTTAGCGTCTCCGCTACAAAATTTCTGGTCCTAGTAATATTCAAAACTGTAATAAAACTATTGTATGCACTGTCAGTCAAGCAGAATTCTCATAATATAAACTGCATTTTTGGTAAAAAAATAATAATCCACTACCAATAGTACAAACTTAAGTACATAACAATTTTTTGGTGCCAGCCTCCCTGACTCTTCCACATAAAAAACACACTGTCTATGTTGCCGAGTTGTCAATTCCTGACACCACCACTCCAAAATAATGTACCGGTACCAAGTAAACTTTCTGTTATTTTCTGATTTTATTCTGCAGTATATTATATGACCAGAGGCTTCTTATGTGGTCATGCATCTTAAATAGGAATATACATAGTACATGTAGTTCAGGCCAATCAGAATGATGTATTTAATCATGTGACTGCTACAGCGTGATGCCAAAGTCCTTCTCTGATGGCTAACTACCTTACTTCACGTTGATTTCAATGTCCATGTGACAACATAAGTATAATTTTAGTGTGAATAGAAATATACATAAACACTTGATAAGATTAAACTGATAATGATAATTTGAAAAGTACTATGATTATTCAAATACAAATAATGAGGCAGAAAACTAGTATAAGGTAGCAAGACTATTATTTGTGTTGAAAATTTCACATTTATTTATTAATTGATGAAATGCACTATAAACTTTCATGTGATAAAGTCAACATAACATAGAATGTCATGTACGTTGGTTAAAATGTAGATTTTCTGAAGGGAAGCAAGGCAGCCTCAGTAGTGTTTTCCAAAATCAACAACACAGGTTTAATCTGTGTGCCTATAAGTTTCAAAGATAAACTCAAGACAAAGCAATGTTAGGATGTGTTATCAGTAGCTATCTGACACACAAGGAGTGTTTCCAAACATTTGAGTGGTTTGTCTCCGCCCCTATTTGTTTCACAGATTAGTCATTTGCATATGAATGTGTCAGACACAAGGTCACACAGCCACTGAAAAAAATCATTGATT